GGGGGGGGGGGTGAAGAACTGAGTGAATTTATTGCAGAGTGTGTGTGATTTGGTATTTTTTGCTACATCGACATTAGATTAATTTTTACAATTACATTCCTCTTAGCTCTTACACAAGCTAGCTCCAAGGAGTGACAGATAAGTATAATAGAAAATCAAGATTCTTTCTTGAGTTACTTTATTCCAGTTCAGTGCTTAACAGATTGAACAGTTGTGTGGAATATAGAAATCAATAATTAAATAAAAATTTGTGGCCTTGAATAATGAACTCTCACATGGTTGTACAAGGTATTTTAATGAGCTTAATTAAAGAGCCTTAATCTGCGCTCTCATGCTTCTGAAAAGGCAATGTGTATTTGACTACTTTTGATGCTTTTGTATCTTTGTTGGCAGATAAAGACATACTTTCTCAAACAACATACCTTCTCCCTTTGCCGGCCTGGCCCCCAAAAACCAATTGAAAATTCCCACTAAAAAGACTGATTTGAAGCACTCATTCATTTCCGGAGTTCCTCTTGCTGGATTCATACTACTTTCTTGGTTCATCAAATCGAGAAAACCTCAAACAGATCAAGAGAGAGATGGCTTATGCTGTTATAACTTCCATCTTGACAACTATTGAGCAAGTATTGCAATTCAATCCAAGTTTGATTTCTGAAAGTAGGGGATCCATTGATTCACTTTATGGAACACTTTCTTTCTTACAAGCCTTCCTTGAGGATACGGGAAACTGGATCAATGATCAAGAAGCATTGAAACTTTTGGAAAAGAAGATCAGAGATGCAGGACATAAAGCAGAAGATACAATTGGTTGCTGCCTAAAGAAGAATCCATGTGGCTGATACTGATCACGACCAGAACAACGCCCGTTGTAAGCTTTATTACGAGTTGCAGAAAATAATAGAAGTAATGGATTCCATAAAAGGAGAAGTGATGAAGTTCAAGAATGTCCACAAACGTATCAAAGATGCGCCAGCAACAACTTATTTATCCTCCTTCTCGTCTGGGCGTGTCTTGGATGAGGAAAATACACTTGTTGGGATGGACGATGTCTTCAACAACATAAGAGATCAGCTCTTTGGACAAACACCAGCGTTGAATGTTGTCTCAGTTGTTGGTATGGGCGGCATTGGTAAGTCGACACTTGCTAGAAGTTTATTTAATCATCCATCAGTGTCCCGACGTTTTGATATTTCTTCATGGGTTACTGTTTCTCAATCATACGATGCAAAGGAAATGCTATTGGATGTCCTAAGCTTCGGTACTCCAGATGGGAAGGCAATGTACCGCAATACGAGCGAAGATGAATTATTGGACCAAGTGCGTAGAAAATTGAAAAGGAAGAGGTATTTGATACTTTTGGACGATATATGGACTATAGAGGCTTGGGACCAGGTAAGAAGATCATTTCCCGATGATGAAAATGGAAGTCGCATAATGATAACTACTAGGCTCCTCGAAGTAGCTAACTGTGCTGGCAATGATTTTCCTCCTCATCACATGCCTTTTCTCAGTCTTGAAGATAGTTGGAAATTACTATCTCTTAAGGTTTTTGGAAATGAAGATTGTCCTCCTCAGCTTGAGGAAGTAGGAAAGCAGATAGCGAAACAATGTCAAGGACTAGCTCTCTCAGTTGTTGTCATCGCTGGGCTTCCGTCGAAGATCAATAGGACATATGATGATTGGCAACAAATTGCTGATAATTTGAATTCCCACATAGGTTCAACCTCCCAGCAGTGTTTAGCAATATTAGCTCTGAGTTACAACTACTTGCCTTGTAGCTTGAAAGCTTGCTTTCTTTATATGGGAGTTTTCCTTGAAGATGCAAAAATTCCTACAGATACGTTGATTAGAATTTGGGTGGCTGAGGGTTTTCTGAAGACAATTTGCCATAAAAAGCCAGAAGAGGTAGCAGAAGAGTGTCTAGAGGATCTAGTTAGCAGAAGTTTGATTATGGTCAACAGT